CAGCAAAAGGTGTGACCCAGGTTAGAGATGGTCTTCCCACAAATGATTTAATTAAACAGAAATTCCTCAGGTGTGCCCAATCTTAGTTTATTTAATTAGTTTTAGTTAACTCCAGATGTAGTCAAGTTGACAACCAGAAATAACCATCACAGTAGTCTTTTTTAAAAAATGTGTATGGATGTTTTGCCCACATGTGTATCTGTACACCACCTGCATGACTAGGGCCTCAAGAGGCTAGAAGGTGGCGTCTGATCCCCGGACTATTGGTCCACGTCACCAGTCCCTCATATGTATACACATTCACGTATGTACTTACAATGTATTTTGATTATATAACCCCACTGTCTTCAATTCTCCCTTTCCTCCTCCAACGGAACTTCCCATCCTGAAGTTCCCCATTTAGTTAGGGTTGCCTGCTTGAGAACTGATGAGAATTACTTGTTTGATCGGGGCAGCATACTAGTGTATACAACATTGAAGAATATGCCTTAACATCCTCCAAAAATCATTAACTACTTATATTTACTCAGGGAGGAGTGGATCCTCATAACACTCCCCTGAGCCTGTGATGGAATGTTGACAGACCCAGGATTATGCAAGTACCAGAAGCTGCTCAGCTCATAAGCCCAACAGTCATGTCATGCTCAGAAAAGAGCCCTCTCCAACATGCTTCCACATCCCCTGACCTTTACGTTCTTTCTGCTTCTCTTCCACAGTCTGTCCTAAGCCTTGGAGGTAGTGGTATAGGTCACTCGTTTAGGGGTGAGCTACCTTAAAACATTTATTTTCAACCCATTGACCAGTTATGAGTCTGTGCAATACCCACTGCCCAGTGCAAACAGTAGCTTCTCTGACCAACGCTGAGGGCAGAACTAATGTATAGGTGCAAATGTAAATATTGGAAAGGCACTGTGAAACCTAGTCACAAGAAAGATTCCAACTCACTCCAGTTTGATTTCCCTACATTCTGCAAGCAAAGGATAATAAACATAATAAAGCTTATATATGGGGAAACTACAGCCCACATCATCTTAAATGGAGAAAAACTTGAATACCATTGAAATTAGGAACAAGACAGGGTTGTCCGTTACCCCTTCTTCTTAGGGAAATGCAAATAGAATGACTAGATTTCATTTTATCTCAAACAGAACAGCTAAGGTTAACAAAATAAAAAAAACCAAATGCTGAAGAGGATGCATGGAAAGGACCCTATTCATTCTTGGTGGAATTGCAAATCAAGCCACTCCAGAAATGTGTGGAGAATTCTCAAAGAGCTAAAAATCAATCTACCATATGACTCAGCTATACCACCCTTTGGCCAAGAGGACACACTATCCTACTCCATAGATATGGCTTAGCCATATTCACTGCTGCTCTGCTCACAATAGCTAAGAAATGGAAACAACCTAAATTTTCATCAACTGGTGAATAATGAAAATGAGCACACGAACACAATGGAAAACTAGCCATACGTAAAGACAAGTGACACCATGAAGTTTACAGGCAAATGGGTAGAAACAAAACATATGGTGATAAATGAAATAACCCAGACCCAGAAAGACAAATGCCACATGTTCTCTTTGTGGTTCTAGTTCTGAGAATTCAGACATGAATATCAAGTAATGATAGACACTGGGGAAATAAAGAAATTTGGGGGCAGAGGTGAGAGGGCTAGAGTTGGGAGTGGCAGGACACAGGTAGTATGGAGAAAATGGGGCTTCTAACTGGGGAGGAAAATGGAAGGGCAATGGGAGAGAGCAAGGCGGGATACATAACTAAGAATGCTCAAAAAGTACACAGGGAATCATTTTATGCTTACCTAAATTTATCTAGAATACAAATATCTATAATATATACACACACAAACTTTAAAAGGCTACATGACTTGGGGCAATATTGTTTCTCCCAAGAGCCACAGAGTAACAAAGCCTCATTATCACAGGGGAAAAAAAACCAGTCCTTTCAAGTTGGTTAGGGAAGGGCATGAGACTCCCCAAACAACACAGGCTATTGTTGCCTTGTGTTATTTCCCAGAACTTAAAGGTGAGCCCCGAATGCTGAAGACATGACACATTTTGGGCACAGAACTTGGAGTAAGAGAGCTGGAGCTGACCCAGAAACCTCATCCTTGTGGCTCTGAGTATCTGAAGGTGCTGTGCAAATTGCCAAGGAAGGGGAGCATTAGGTAGCAATACCCAAATGTAAAGCTATGAATACCAATGATAAAAAAGTGGCATTTTTATCTTGAGTGTTAACAACTGTCCAGTTGGATTTAAGGCCTATGCAGTGACAGGGAAACCCTGCCTACTAAACCTAAGCCAGCTGCTCATGCCTCAAGAACCTACTCTGAGCACTTTTCTAAATCAGTGCAACTCCTAACACTACCCCAAAGCTCATCCTTATGCCTGCAGATAAGTAGATGTGATCCCTCATCAAAGTAGCTTGTTTTTATAGCACCAGGAATCCAGTACAAAAAGCATGACTAGTCAGTTACCATGGGATGGCCAGTCCAATGGGTACATCTACCACAAAGCTCCTGCACCTGAGGCTCAGGAACTTTGCTGAAAGAGGGTAAGAAAGACTAGAAGAGGCAAAAGACTAGGAAGTCAACTGTGAGACTGAGCCCTCTAGACAGGTTAGGGAAGCCACACACATGAAACACAATTGTCAAAAAACTACATAAATAAATAAAAATAAATTTTAAAAAGACCCAAACAATTCCAACAATTGACTTTCCAATATAGATAGGGGAACTCTTAAGGGACGCCACATCAACAACCACTGAAAGAGGGAGAACTAGCCTCCCCAGAAATGAATCCCCTACTTGTTTATCCAATACCAACTGATTAGCCTTAGACACAAATATATGCAGGTAACACCAAAGGGACTCAGCAGACTGTATTCATTTATTCATTTGTATGTACTAAAGCAATACTGAAATAATATGGAGAGAATTTGGGTGGGAGTGGGGAGGAAATTGAAGGGATAGTGATGTATATGTATGTGTATATATATATTGAGCTCTACATTTTTCTCTGCTCCCGTCTGCCTCTCCTCTCCCCTTCAACTCTCTCCCAAGGTCCCCATGCTCCCAATTTACTCAGGAGATCTTATCTTTTGCTATTTCCCGTATAATTATATTTTAATAAAAGCAAAAGTCTGAAGAACATTAGGGAAAATGTTCCCACACTCCTTATATTTATTGGGCCTTTCTACAAATTCCTGATTGCCCTGTTCAAATGTGGTGTAAGTTCTGAACTGCAATGAGAATTTCTCCAAATAAACGAGTATCACATGGTGTCATGTGGGTTCTAGGAATCAAACCCAGATCCTCAGGCTTTATGGGAAATGACTTTACCCACTAAGCCAATTTTCCAACACATCTTAATTGAAAAGATATATTTTAAAGTAAAAATTACAAAAATCTATGTAAGAAACTTTACTATTAGAAAATCCAAGTGTTCATATAAATGTTAGGAAATTGCCAATGAAGAATAATAAGAAAAACATAATTTGTCACACAAGGATAATAGGAAATACAATTTACAAGTAGCCTATTTTCAATTTCAAATGAACATTAAAAAACTACATATAAATTAAATTCACTGGACTCTTACAAATGTACTTGAATTTAATGAATCAAACACAGCTTCAGATTGAAATGGAAAAGGATATTACCTTGTTTAACTTTTTTTTTAATGCCCATTAAAATCAAACTGATCATGACTTGGTGGCACAGACCTTTAATACCATCTCTTGGGAGACAGAGGCAATCTCAGTGAGGCAGAGGCAGCCTGGTCTACAAAATGAGACCTTATTTCAATACAAAACTTGATTTATCAAACTAAAAGACATCAATACATATAGGCCATACTGTTGCTATTCTTGCTCAACACAGTTTTCTGATAGCCTTGGTTTCTCCAAGCAGAAGAGACGACAGGCAAAAACATTTTCCACAAATTCCACAAAATCACACTTTCAAAAGAAAACATTTCTTCAGAGTGTTCCTTACTTTTACAACATACAGAAGAAAATTTCCTTTCACCTTATTTGAGACAACACACAGCTTATATTTTTAATGCTGAATTTTTTCATTCGGTGGAAGGGGTTCCTAACTTCCAGGAACAGTGTTCAAATTCACTGTATTCGATGTTGGAATTCTCTCGCCTCTACTTCCCTAGTGAGTAAAAGAGATGCACCAGGGCCAGCAAGACTGTTCACGGGTTAAGGTACTTGCTTTGAACTCGGACAACCTGAGTTCCTCCCCAGGACCTACATAGTGGACAGAACAGGACAGACACCTGAAGCTGTACACTGACACATGTGCACTCTGCATGTGTTCACTCATGCACGTACACCTACAAAAATGTGATCGTCATAAACTGTAGTTTATATAAAATGAAATTTTCAAGGAAATATGTGGCTTCGCACATTTGATGAAACAGGTCACATTCCAGATGTGTCTAAATTTGTACATTTTCAGTCTCCTATTACAGCTCTTTCCAGCTTTTTTCTTTTAATTATTACACTTACAGGGCCGAAAAGACGGCTCAGTAGCTCAGAGTATAGATGCTGCTCCTCTAGAGGACCCAAGCTGGATTTCCAGCACGCACACTGGGAAGCTCACAACCACCTGTTGCCCCAGCTTCAGGGGAATCTGACACCTCTGGCCTCTATGTGCACCAGCCCTCACATGCACAAACCCACACACTTACACATAATTAAGAATAAAAGTCACGTGGTGGCACATGGTTTTAATCCCAGTACTTGGGAGGCAAAAGCAGGAGGATCTCTGTGAGTCTGAGGCCAGTTTGGTCTACAAAGAGAGTTCCAAGACAGGCAAGACTGTTACACTGAGAAATCCCATCTCAAAAAGATCAAAAAATAAGAAAATACTGTGAAAATGTATTTTAAAGCCAGGTTGTGGTGGTGCATGACTTTAATCCCAGTACTCAGGAGGCAGAGGCAGGTGGATCTCTGAGTTCTACAGAGCAAGTTCCAGGACAGACAGGGCTTCACAGAGAAACCAACCCTGTCTTGAAAAAACCAAAATTTTAAAAAAAGTATTTTAAAATATCCCATTTATTTATATATGTGTGGGAGATTGTGCATGCAAATGATGGCACATGTGTGCACGTCAGAGGAAAACCTTGGGGACTCAGTTCTCTCTCCTCACATGGGTTCTGAGGATCCAACTCTATCAGGCTTGATGGCGAGCGCTTTTACCCTCAGCCTTCTCACTGGCCCTCCACACTATTTTTTTCATACCCCACAACAACAGCAAGTTGATCAAAGACAATTCCACATGATGTACACGGATTTAGGCTCTACCCACTGGGTTTCTTTTCCATGTGAGCTCTTTCATGTTTGTGAAGGCATGTGGAAACCCTAAATGCTTTCCCACAATAATTACATACATAAGGTTTTTCTCCAGTATGAATTCTTTCATGATCACGAAGGGATGTGGAAATCCTGAACGCTTTCCCACATTCCTTACATACATATGGTTTCTCCCCAGTATGAATTCTTTCATGATTATAACAAGCGTCACGCTGGATGAAGGCTTTCCCACAATGCTTGCAAACATAGGGCTTCTCTCCAGTGTGAATTCGCTCATGGTTGTGAAGATGGCTCCCACGAAGAAATGCTTTCCCACAATGCTTGCAAACATAGGGTTTCTCTCCAGTGTGAATTCTCTCATGAATGTAACGGGCACTGGAATGGGTGAAGGCTTTTCCACAGTGCTTACATATATAAGGTTTCTCACCGGTGTGAATTCTTTCATGCCTCCGAAAAGATGTAGAACATGAAAATGCTTTACCACACTGTGTGCAAACATAGGGTTTCTCTCTGGTGTGAATCCTTTCATGACTGTACCAGCCACTGTAATGGGTAAAAGCTTTTCCACAATGCTCACAAGTGTAAGGTTTTTCTCCACTGTGAATTCTTTCATGGATGAGAAGGTCATAGGAACGAATGAATGCTTTTCCACACTGCTTGCATACATATGGCCTCTCCCCACTGTGAATCCTTTCATGGTTCTGGAGGGATGAGGAATATCTGAATGCTTTCCCACACTGCTTACATGTATAACATTTCTCTTCGGGGTGAATTAGTTCATGTTTAATAAGGTGACTGGAATTAACCAAGGTTTCGTCATACTGCGCACACACAAATGGTTTCTCTCCAATGGTGATTCTTTCATATATTTGACCATAACTGTACCTCCAGAAGGCTCTCTCCACTTGCTTCCATTCATGGAGTTTATCTCCAGTGTGAATTCTCTCACAACGCGGATCAAAATTGAGACTCCTACAGACTTCATTAGATTGCTTATTTTGATCGGCTGTCTCTCTAGGAGGACTTTGATTTGCCTGAAAGAACTCAGAATAAGTTAAATCTTTCCAACATTTCTCATGTGTAAAAGCTTTCTCCACTTGTTCCCGAGACCCATATGGTTTCTCTGTAATTTCGCATCTGAGGTGCACACGTGAGGGTGAATGAACAATAATGTCTCTTGCAAGCACACTGTTTTCAAATATCGTCATGGCGGGAGGCGTGTCTCTCTGAACAATAGGCTCTGGAATCTGTTGCTGGGTTTCTCCACACAGACTGTCATCACCATAGTCACAGTTTCTCTCAACCACCTGAGTCCTGCAAAAAAGGAGAAAAGCGTAACTACACTCGAGAAGTGCTGGAGACTGGACACTGAGCCACTGTTACAGTATTCTGCAGGCAGCAGGAGGACAGCAAGTGTAAAGTTCATCTGGGCCATATACAAAGACCCTGGGAGAAAGGGAATGACACTGCTGATTCTGCTTCTCTAAGAATTTGTAAATATAAAGGGACTGAACCCTGAGTCGTGGTCCTGAAGACAGCATACACACATAAAAAGGTCTTAAACACTACCGCTTTTCCCCCATAAATACTGTGTATACCACAGCTAACAAAGTTAAATATTTTAAACCAGAAATAATGTGCATCATACATTACAGATTTTGGAAGAGCTGAACATCTTTTTTGTGATTTATTGGTAATAGGTTTCAATCTAAACCTGAAACTCATTTTACTTCACATTCCTTATCCCCAAAGCTGAAAGGTACTTGATAAAATACACAAATCATTTCTTTAGGAAGGACAATTTTGGACACAAAAACAAGCCTTACATAGGTTAATGTTGCACATTTTGGCAATACTCATACACTAAAGAGTCAGAATCTTCTAATTCTGAATGTTCCAACTCAGTGCACTTGTAGAGAAAATTTGAGATCAAATCAATTGCACCAAGATGTACCGGATCATTTGCTTGTTTTTCAGATTTCCTATCACTTGCAAATACTTTATTTGATACAAATTCCTCTCTCTTTGAGTGTATATTACCTCACATTTTTCCTGAGATTTTGGTAGTTGTCTTCAATATTTTCTTTTCCCTTTGTTTTACCTAAAAAGCAAACCCAAAGAAATTATTATGACTGAATTCAATATCATACAAAAACTTATTCAAGTCTACATTTTGTTATGTGCATTATGACCTGGAATGCTACATTTTCCATGAAGTTCCCTTCCAATATTTCAATTCAAGTGTCCAAACAGGTGAGCAAGAAGAAACAGCTATTCTCTAATTAAATGAATAAAGAAATCATATTTTTTTTACCTATGGAGATCAGATTCATAAAGGTTTCTGTCATCACATCTCTGTATAGCTTCTTTTGACTAGAATCCAACAAAGCCCACTCTCCTAGAGTGAAGTTCACAGCCACATCCTCAAAGGTCACTGGCTCCTGAAAGAATCCACATGAAGAAATGTCAAAAATTAACCACCAACTTGACAGGACCTAGAGTCATGAAAGATGTTGAGGGATACTGCAAGTGTGCTGAAAGCAGAGATTAACCGGCTGTTCTGACAGAAGCTTAAGGCATGAGAATGCTCAAAGAAATGGGAACTGTCAAGGCCTGGCTCATGAGGTTTCAAGGGAAAACCAGGGCAGAGGCTATTTGGGTTTTAACCAAAATTTGGCTTCATTCTGTCCAGAGCCTGATGACCGGAAAGAAGTTGAATTTAAAGAAAATGAAATAATTTGACATACAAAATAAGTGCCAACGAGCTTAAAATTTTGGACAAGGAGGGTACAGATAACAAAGCAGCCGTGGAGGTTAGCACTGAGCAGTGGGACTGCTGTGGGACAATAGTTTCATACTTTGTAAAGACTTGTGACATGTATTTTAATAAAACGCAGATTGGCCAGTAGCCAGGCAGGAAGTATAGGTGGGGTGACCAGGTAGGAGGTAAAGAAAACAGGAGAATTCTGGGAAGAGGAAAGAGTCAGTCTGCACTCGTCATCCAGATGCAGAGGAAGCAAGATGAGAATGCCTCACTGATAAAGGTATCAAGCCACGTGGCTAACACATGCAAGAATTATGGGCTAATAAAAGTTATAAGAGTTAATAAGAAGCCTGAGCTAATAGGCCAATCAGTTTATAATTAATGTAGACCTCTGTGTTTTTCTTTGGAACTGAATGGCTGTGGGACCAGGCAAAACAGAAATCTCTGTCAACAGTGGGACAACAGGGAGGCATACTATTAACACAGTAACTGTATAAGCAAAATGGGACTGCACTGACTTGGGCTATGCTATCACCCCTCTGGAAACAATGGACCTATCAACCAGTTAGCAACCTAGAACCCCTACATTCACCTGGAGGATACATGTATAACTGCTTTATACAATGAAAACACTCCCCCTTATTACCATGTTTCTAGTCAAATAGATTGTGCAATGCTTCAGGAACCATGGGCAGAGCCTATGGGAACTACCCTGAACTAATTTTGGGTGCATGCACAAAAAAGCAAATAATGTTCACAAAATGAATCTTTTGGGAGATTTCTCTATTTATTATTTTATGCTTATCATAATGGGGCCTGCATAGGATTAAAATTAGGTATATTAGGGGAAGGAACAATCACAGTGCGCAAAAGCTTACAAAATAGAAGCCTATTAAAATAACCATCTGTACATGATACACACTTTGAGTATTCTCACTGATGTGGCCTACTATCATTCTTCAGAGTTTATTTTTGATCTGCACTATCGCTTTACTAGACCTGGCTATATGCACAAATCTGTGAGGATCACTATTTCAATAGTCTAAACCAGTGGTTCTCAACCTGTAGGCCATGACCATTTTGGGGTTGAGCAACCCTTTCACAGGGGTCACCTAAAACCACTGGAAAACACAGATATTTACATTACAATTCATAATTAGGAAAATTACAGTTATGAAGTTGCAACAAAAAATTTTATGGTTGGGCATCACTACAACATGAGGAACTGTATTAAAGGGTCACTGTTGGAAAGAAGCCGCTTGTTGGTTTTCAGCTGCTCAACCCTGAAATAACCACACAGAAACTGTATTAATTAAATCACTGCTTGGCCCATTAGCTCTAGCTTCTTATTAGCTAACACTTATATCTTAATTTAATCCATTTTTAGTAATCTGTGTGTTGCCACATGGTTGTGGCTTATAGAGTAAAGTTCCCAGCATCTGTCTCCAATGGGGCTACATGGCTTCTCTTTGACTCCGTCCTCTTTGTCCCAGCATTCAGTTTAGTTTTACCAGCCTACCTAAGTTCTGCCTTGCTATAGGTCCTAAGCAGTTTCTTTATTAATCAATGGTAATCACAGCATATAGAGGGCAATCCCACATCAAGTCATAGCATTAGAAAGGTTAAGAACCACTAGTTTAAACACAGGCAAAGAGCTGGTAATGGGGGTTGGAGACATGGTTCAGCAGTTAAGGGTTCTGTTTGTTTTTCCAGTGTTCCAGGTCCGATTCTCAGCACCCACATGGCAACCCACAAACACCTATAACTCCATTTCTAAGGGATCCAAAATCCTCTTCTGACGTCTGCTGGCTTCTTCATGGATGTAACATACATAGACTATGTAAACATACATAGACTGAGGCAGGTAGACCCATAAAAATGAACTAAAATAAAACAAAATAGAACTTGGAAATACCAGGTTCAGATCCCATCTTCCAGTAACACATTTGGCAAATCTGATCGGAAAGGAAAACAAAATTCTCCTCTCTCACTACTAAAACTTATCCACTACTTTCTAACAATTTTTTATATAGATGTTTATGGCTGCAATGATGGAACAAAGCAATCAATTTGGTCAAAAAGATTCTTCAAGGGCTGAAGAGGTTGGTGGCTCAGCCTTCAAAGGCTAAGTTCCAGACCAAAAAGACAAAAAGTCACCAAGTTAAGGCCTCTCTGTCCTAAAGAACACAGTGGCTGAGGACAGATGTTCTCTGTCGTTGTTTCACCTGGCATGGGGAGGACAGGAAGAGGGAATAAAGATGAGCAACAGCCGTCTCTGTCCGAACATGAAGAAAGAAACACTACTGTTCCTTCCCATAGGATAGTTTCTGCTCTGTGTAGCCGCAGAACCTAAATCCACAGTCACTTGGTATGTGCAGAAAACGGTTTTTTCTCTCTCTTCTTTCCATTTTTCTCCTTTGATTATGTATTTGTTCACCTGAAGTGATTCTGCTACATTTTGCTACCCCAAAATTAAAACATGGGTCTTCTGAATTCGGTGAAATCATTTCTGTTCTTTGGAGCAGGACCTATTCTTACAACTGATTGAATTTTAAGAGTTTTTCTCAGACTGGGTGTGGTGGTACAGGCCTTAATTCTAGCACTGGGCAGGCAGAGGCAGGCCATTTCTGAGAGGTGGCGGTCAGCCTGTTCCACACAGTATATAGTGAGTTCTGGGACAGACAAAGTTACATAGTGAGACCCTGTGTCAAAAACAAAAACAAAAATAAAAAAACTCTCTCTAGCCTTGCTTTTTCCTAGTTTCACATCTGTCTAGCTGATAAAGTATCTATTTCTGAAATTAAACATTAAGAACATTTGTACTCTTGTGCTGTGGCCTCAAAGAGCAAAGCAGATGACTCAGAGGGAAAGAAAGGACGCGAAATGAGGAGGAAAGGGGAACAGCTGCCTCTTTATCCAAGGACAGATGAGACTCCGAGCATGCCAAGTGAATTTAATGCCTTAACTGAGAAACCTTCTAACACAATAAATCATCCCGCCTCCTAATAGTGCTACTGCTGCTTGGATCAGAGCCAAATTCTGCTGTTACTTTTATTTTAATAGTTTTTCCCCAGTGATTTTTTTTTTTCATTTTCTCTTTTTCTATTCTCACATGTGTCTAACATGCCACGGCTTGAATAATTCTGATGCTCAAGTTGAAGACAATCAGGTCTCACAAACACACACACACATTTACACACACACACACACATCAAAAATCTTCATGGGCAGATTACTTCTAACAATTGCAAAGGATTATAGAACAGATCAAATCAAATCTTTGGGCGGTAAAGAAGAGAAAAAATGGCCTTGAGATTGGAAGACACCAGGCTACCACTCCCCCAAGGTATGAGAGGAGGGACCTTTGATTGAGAAGTTGTCTCCACAAGAAAGGGTGGTGTCATTCCTGGGCTGGTGGCCCTGTGTGCTATGAGGAAACAAACCATGAGAGCAAGCCAGCAAGCAGTACTCCTTCACGGCCTGTGCATCAGCTTCTGCCTCTAGGTTCTCACTAAGTTTGAGTTCCCACCCTGGTCTTCAATAGACTGTGATTCAGGATATGTATGCCAAATTAACCCTTTACTCCCTGAGTTAGTTCTGACCGTGATGTTTCATCACAGCACTAGAAACCCTAACTAAGACACAAGGCAAAACTGTTCTCCTAAGCTCCAACCTCCAGGAAACAAGCCCCTGACTACCTTCCCTTAGCTACCTCTTTTACCTTTAAAAGGTCTGTGTGCAGGGTCTAAGAATCAAGAGCCATTAGGCCATCTGCCACTAGACAGGGGTTCAGACGTCTCTTCTGTATCATAAGACCGCATAACTTTACCAGTCAATCAGTAAAACATAAACAATTTTTGGACTTTCAATCTCTGGTTTCTTATTGAAACCCTGAGGAAACAAGCATTCCAGGATTTCTTTGTGTCTCTTTGGCTGTCCTGGAATTTACTCTGTAGACCAGGCTGACCTCAAACTCACACAGATCCGCCTGCCCCTGCCTCCCAAGTGCTGGGATTAAATTAAAGGTGTGCACCACCACGCCTGATGAAACAAGCTTTCTTGGAGGACAGCATTTCACTGACTTACTAGATAGATAGACGGCCGGTTAGGACCCTATTTTTTTTTAAGGTTTTACTTTTAATTGTGTGTTTATGTCTGTGCCTATGTGTGAATATGTGCACATGAATGCAGTATCCAGAGACCAGAGAGGTCATCTGATCCTGTGGGATCTGGGGTTACAGACAATTGTAGGTGGTAGGAATCCTCTCCAGGATGACCTCTTAACCACTGAGCCATCTTAACCAATGAGTCTTCTCTCTCTAGCCCCAACCCTATGTTTATAATGACTTATAAACCTATACTCCTAACCATGGCTACAACCTTTCCATCAACTCTAAATCAGGCAGTAACCCAGTACATGAGACACTTCCTTTCACAAAATGTCTGTTGTAGAACCATGTGCTCCAAAAGCCATTGTCTGCATGAGGAGAACTACAGTCACAAAAGGGAAGATTATGGAGGAACTCACAAAGACATAGGAAAATAACATAAAAGAGGTATGACATCTCTTACAGACACAACACCTGAAGATGCTCAGCATCCAAAGCAGAGATTCTACACGGGGATGTCCCAGAATCTACATTCTGATCTTCCCTCTTTTGGTGGAACTTGTTGAGG